TTTGTGTTGTTTAAAAAAAGGTGTTTGCAATGAACAAGTCATTGGTCTTGCAAAATTCTACCATGTGAGTTCCAGCATTATTTCTGTCACCAAAGCCAAATTTTCCAACTACTGGTGATTCTTCTTTGTTTCCAACTTTTGCATTCTGGTCACCAGTGATAATTAACACATCCTGATTGAATGTTTGGTCAATTTCAGACTGCAGAAGTGGATAAAAATCTTCAATTTCCTCACCTTTGGCTTTGGTGGTTGGTGCATAAATTTGAATAACAGTCATATTAACAGGTCTTCCTTGTAGGTGTATGGATATTATCCTGTCACTGACAGCACTGTACTTCAGGACAGATCTTGAAACATCCTTTGTGATGACGAATGCCACACCATTCCCCTTTAAACTGTCATTCCTGGCATAGTAGATCATATGGTTGTCTGATTCAAAATGGCCAAAACCAGTCCATTTCAGTTCACTAATGCCTAGGATATCAATCTTTATGCATTCCATTTCATTTTTGACAACTTCCAATTTTCCTAGATTCATACTTCGTACATTCCATGTTCCGATTATTAATGGATGTTTGCCGCTGTTTCTCCATTTGAGTGGTGCCACATCAGCAAATGGAGGTCTCGAAAGCTTTACTTTATCCATATGAGTAAGGCTGATTCAATCCATAACAATGGCTAAAAAATCCTAAATTTAATGAAGACTATAAAACCACAGATCAAATCAATGCAGGAGGTCGTGGATGGAGCAGGAGGACAAAACTCAGAATCATCAAAACCACCAGGCTCCCTGATAGAGACCATGAAACCCCAAGATTATGGCCCCTCGTCACCCTTCAGGCCTGCAACTGAAATCACTGCCATGGCTTCCAGCATCGAAGAGGAACATTTACACCAGGCAGGTACACTCCCCAGAGTGATCCAATCACAGGAGACAGCTCAGGGGGCAGGAATGCACAGGAAAGACAAACACAGCAAAGGGGTAACTACAGGGAGGAAGTGGGAAGAGAGTTGTATGGGCACTGCAATCACTGTCAGGAAAGAAAACGTCTATGAACTGCTGCTATATGGAAAACGAATTTGCTCGTAAACCTTCACCCAATTCACACTTCAAAAACAAAAACAAAACACAGCTTAATGAAGCCAAAAAAGCGGCAAGTACAAAAGACATGAGGAAAACAACATCATGCACAACACAAATGAAATGCTTAAAACAAGAGACAAAGAGGAAAGCTTTGAAGAACCTGAGCAATGGAACAAAGACACGGCAGAGCCGCCAAGATCAGGGTGACAGCAGGCTTCTCGCTGGAGACAACGGCGTGAGAAGAGGGTGACGCACCATCTTTAAAGCAGGAAAAGGAAAAAGACACTGCTGGACTAGAACCTGCACCTGCAGGACTAGAACCACGCCTGCCAGTCCAGAACCCTACACCTGCCAGACTGGAACTCACGCCTGCCAGTCCGGAACCCTACGCCTGCCGGACTGGAACTCACGCCTGCCAGTCCGGAACCCTACGCCTGCCGGACTGGAAC